TATTTTCTCCCCTCCATAGCACCTATCACTACTTGAAATTAGCTTGATTATTTGCTTATTGTCCCTGTCCTCCCACTAGACTGTGAGCTCTATGAGGGCAGAAACCATGTTCACTTTTTCTAGAATAGTGCCTGGCATATAGTGTATGCGTAATGAACAGTTGATTAATTAACATATCTAAAGAAAGACTACCTCAGAGTGAAAGATAATGGTCAGCCAATAGAGAAAAGTGACAATGTATTTTAAAATGTCAATATGAGTGTGCCCAACTATAGCAAACATTAGAGCTGTGCCATGACATTCCAGTTCTCATGATATTTCAGATACATGAAGGTTCGTACTTGCCCATCACCTTGAATTATGCATGATCGTTTGACTTGCTGTGTCCAATGAAATATAAACACAAATTTAAGAGCCACTTTGTTTCATTTAATCCTTTTACCTTCCCACTATCATGGTAACCACCAGCACAAGGCCAGAGGTTAACGTTTCATCTATCTACATTCCTGAGCAAGGACAACATACAGCAGAGCCCCGAGAGTCCCCAGACAACTCACATGTAAGAGGAACTGAAGAAGAAATAAATGTTTGTTATTTTAAGTCACTGAGATTTGGAGGTTGTTACTGCAAAGCACCCTAACGCATCCAGGCTGATAGACCATCTAAGCGATGCTGTGGGAGCATGGAATGATGCGGTCAGTCTCACTAGGCAGTCAACTGATGCCACTAAATATACATACTTAATTTCCTTATTATTCCTACTTGGTTTCCAAATAGATCTGCTAACCAAGGAGAGAAAAAACTGTTCATGTGAAGTTTTAAGGATTCTTGTCCCTGATGCTATTTTTCAGTAAATATTCCCCAAATAATGAATGCCACCCTTTATAGGCTCCTTGAGAAATAGTGTACCAGCCTTTCCTTATCTGGTAACATGATAAAAATGACTGCTTTTCATCTCATTATTATCTACACCAACTATTCAATAATCAAATATGTACTGAGTCCAGGTCACTATAAGGAAAATGGGCTAGAAAGGTAGAGTGGCTGGAATATAGAAGTACTTGAAAGCTGTGTCAGGAACTAGACTTTACTTTTATAGAAAAAGTAGACTTACTGAGAAGCTAATATAGGAATCATGTTACTAAAAACTATTCTTGAAGACTATTTTATATGGCAGTTGTAGAATTAGGATGACTGCAATGGGAAGGTCAAGAATTTCCAACTTCTGTGCCACAAATCCTCCATAGATGAAATGTCAAATTCTAATCAATATGTATGATTTATTTTTACTACAATGCTAAACATACTGTTAGTGATGTACAGGAAATAAGCAGGGCACAGGTATATGCAAACAAGAGGTAAAGGCACAATGAGAAGTCAAGCTGGCATTGAAGTAAAATCTGATGATGGGCAAAACTACTTTGTGAGTCTGAAGGGCAGTCAGGGCAATAATAACTTAATAGTTCTGAAGGCAACCAAGTGAACAATGGATGCTTTACTACCACCAGGAGGAATTTTTATATTGTAGTAATGACAGGGTTGTAATCAGGTTGGTTTGTATTCTGAGTTCTTTCAGGTACACAGGGCATCTGTGCAGTACTCCAACAAGCTTTCCTCACTACAATTCATTCCTTCAACAAATATTAAGCATATGTTACAGGCTAATTACCATTCTAGGTACTGTGGAAACATCAGTGAACAAAAAAATATCCCTGCCCTCCTGGAGTTTATATTCTAATGGCATTTAAATTCCATTCTAAAATTTGCCCCCAAATCCTATTATATGGGAGTGACTTTTACAAATGTCTTTGAATGAAATCATCTATGATTAATTCACACTAAGATGTGAGAGACTAACAATCTCCCCAAAGGTAATTACTCTTGAAAAGCAAATAACTCACAGATGCACAGACTCTTAGCATTGGAAAGGACCTTGGAGATAATTTCACTTTACAGATGAAATTAAGGGATTTTCCCAAGAACACACACTCACTAAAAAGAGAGCCAGGTTTAGAACTGTGACTTCCACTCTTAATGCCTTTTTCATATAACATCAAGCTGTCTGTTCTCAGATTACACTAGTGAAAAGAGATGCTAAAACGGGCATTCATAATCCATATATACACAGGTGGTAGGTTTCTGGGTGAGTTTCACAGTGTGTGTAAAACTGAGGGGGAGAGAGATAGTTATAGGGGAGGCAAACTGGGGGCCCTTTCAGAAGACCCGTTCTCTCATCTATACCCATATCATGTCCCAAGAACAGAGACAAGAAATAAAAAACCTTCTCCAAAATTAAAGGATATTAGCTATCAGTGGGCAGATACTTGGAGCACAAAGTGGTAAACACAGCATCTGAATCCAGAAAAGTATCATTTGTATTAGGTTAAGGGTTTAAAAAAAAATTTACTGAATACATTTTCCAGAAAGCAAGAAATTAACTAATACAAGATCAACAAGTATGACTGATAAAATGGCAATGTACTATTGACTGGTATGATGTTATGAGGCATTTTTAAGGATAATTCTTCAAAGAATTAAACTCATCTCATTTATAAACTGTAGCAATCTATATATTTGAAAACCCAACTAGTACAAAAGGGCTAGGCTCTCAAAGACACATGATAAACAAACCTGAGCCTTATTTAATATTGTAATAGAAAATACATTTAAAAAAAACTTTCCAAGGGGAAAGAGAAAAACTTGAAAAGTGAACCTTGGAGATACCAGACTTTTACCCCCACTATTTCTATAATTCATCAGTCATCATGTTTGTTTCCTCCTTCAAAATGTCTCTTGAATACAAAGCAAAATACCCAATTTTAAAAGAACACACACAAAAAAACAAAGACTGACCATTAAAAAGAAGATTTTTCAAAGAATGGGAAATACTCATGATATGCTGAGTCAAAAAAAAAAACAGCAGGGAGAAGAAAACGTATAAGCCTTGTTTCATAAAAAGGAAAATAGTTATCAGCAGAAGATTTGAAAGGAATGAAAATGTTAACAGCTGGTTTTCATCTTAGGGGGTTTTATAAGTGGTTTTAATTTTTTTTCACACTTTCTCTACATTTCCTAAATTCCCTACAATGAACATGCATTATTTTCAGACTTAGAAAAAAATGTTATTTAAATAATCGTTTTATTTTAATACATTCTCATTGCCCCCATCCTAACTCTTTATAGCCTCTCCCCTCCCCCAGGTCTCCAACAACTTCCTTGAGGTCTCTGAGCCAGCTCTGCCCCAGCTTGTAGTCATGCTCCTAAAATTCATCATTAATACCTATTTACAGTACATAGAAGCAAAGGCTAGCCATATAAACCATCAGCTTAAAACTGGGTTTCTCAACCTCAACACCACTGACATTTGGAGTAACTAGTTTTTATGATGGGGTTCTCAAATTGTAGGGTGTTAGCATTCCTCGCTTCCACCTACTAGCTGCCAGTAGCACCTCCCCCTCTGCCAGTGGTGACACTGCCAATGTCCCCCTGTCCCCAGTACAGAACCACTGATTTACAAGTTTAAAACTTCCAAAATCATCTCTATCTTCAAATATAAATAGATCAGATCTAAACTTCTTTGACATATGTGTCTTATACAACAATTCTTCAAGTCTTACCCACATAATCTTATTTTTCTGAATAGGAACTTTCCAAATAGATCAGACTAGAAAAATCATTTCATTCTCAAGTCCAAGTCTTGGAACACACCGTCAATGTCCCGCAACCATCCTTCAATTACTGGTTCTTTGCAGAAGCAGTACTGAGCCACTCAGTTCAGTTCACTGTATACCCAACTGATACATATACACACCCAGTTTTTACGGTTAATCTCATATACAAACTTGACTAACCTCCCTAAAATTTGTTGCCCTGGCAAGGTTTTTTTATATAACCAATGGGGCCTACCACTGCGCTGGGCATAGAGGCAATCAAAAGCTTGATAACCAATGTAAGTCAAATGCTCTACTGCTGATTTCTTATGGAATGATTTTTGCTTTTGGCCTTATTTTTTGTCATGTAGCTGACACTTAAGTATAAGCACTCCAAGTGCAGAGTAACTCACTAAGTTTTCAGAGTGAAAAACATTAATATATAATGTTACATTTTAAGGAATAGTTTTCAATGTACTCTACACTTTTAAGAAATAACACAAAGGGATTAAAACTATAAACCACACACAAATATGAATTTTGTGAACTCCATCTCTTCAAATATCCAATAGACTCAGTGCACAAAACTTAAGTATGGTTAACAAGAACAGAGAACTTGATTCAATGTGTGAATGTATGTGTGTCACAAAAACATACATTGTACCCCCATCTACGAGAAGTAAATGAAATGAAAGCCTTTATAAACTAGAGGGCCACATAGTTAAAAGCAAGAAGCAGTCTGCTTGGGTCCAAGTTACTTGACTTCTCTGTGACTCAGTTTCCTCCTCGTCACAATGGGGATAAGAGTACCTGTACCAAAGCAAAGCCCTCAAAACAGTGCTTAGCATACAAAACGCACGAAATATTAACCACTGTTACTATTACAATGCCATTATTAGTCAAATAAAAGCCCCAATGTATGAAGTTCTGATTCAAGTCTGAAGCAGGTTTAAACAAAAAAGCAGGACAAACTGTTCACACAAGTTAAGCTATTACCTGGCCTAGTGTCTCAGAATTTTTGCTAGTTACTAAACAGGTGATTTTTACAGAACTAACGTTCTGTTACAGTTTTGTGTTTTTTTAATCTGCAGAGAAATTGACACAGACAACTCTGTGTTCAAGGAACTTTACAAGCCACAAGAAAACAAATCAAGTCTTTGTTATCTCCATATTTAAGCCAATTTAAGAGCGTGGTCAAAGCCTAGGTACTGTTACAGAACAACTTTTCAGAACAAAACAATGAGGGTTTTAAAGTTGCAGTCAGCAATTATGCAGTTATGTCAAGTTTCTGCGCTGAACAAAAGCTTCTCTCTTAGGAAACCAAGGACCCGTCAGAAAGTAAGGAAATACCACGGCCGGGCCCAGGCGGCTCTCAGGAAAGCCTCTCCTCAAACAGATCCTCTCGGGCGCGTTCCGTCCTCCCTTTCCCGGGCGCAGATGTCGGCTCCACCAGAAGGTAAATACCTGACAGCAGGTTCCGTCCGCGCTCTCCCGGCCCGGGCCCCCGGCGTCCCCCCGGCGGCCTCCAGCACCCCGGCCGCGACCCTCCCCGCGCGGGCGGGCGGCGGACGGACGGGGCTCGTCCGGGGAACGCAGGCCTCCCGCCCCGCCCTCGCTCCCGGCAGCCCGGCCAAGCGGAGGCCGCCGCGGGGCCTGCAGGTGGGCCCAGGGCGCGGCCGGGCCCGGGGAGGAGACCTGCCCCGGGCGCGGCCGCTGCGGAAGCGGGGCTGGCACAGGTGCGGCCGCCACTTACCGGCGCCTCATGGTACCTCGGCGCCTCAGCTCAGACCCGGCGCTGACCAGCTGCGCCAGGCGGCCCACGGCGAAGCTCGGCGCCCGGGCCCAACCCCACACAGGGCCATTCAAACGCGGCGCACGCGCGGCCCGCCGGGAAAGCTCCGCTCGGGGCCAGGCCCCGCCCAACGCTGGTTCCGCCCCTCTCGGGTGGTGGAGGAAGGGGAAGAAGACGTGTGGCCACAGTGCCCTCTGGTGGCCGCATATGCGCACGGTAGTCTTGCTGCAGCGCCGCCAGATGGTGCTGTGGGAACTGATGGTGGATAGGGGTCAAAGAAAGTCCCTGAGCTAGTTAGTCGAGTGGGGGAAAGCGCACCTTAAGTGTTGTACAAAGAGGTGCAAAATTCTGCTGTAAAAAATGGTGCAGGGAGAGATTTATTCATTCACTTCCATTTATATGCACTAAAGTAAAGTACTTAGGATGGCTTGAAGCTATGCGACCTTGAGCAAGTTATATAATCTGTGTGCTTGGGTTTTCCCATCTGTAAAATGGTGATGATAATAGTATCTGCCTCCTAACTGTGAGGATTAAATGAACTAACAGATATAAAATGCTTTGAGGAATGTATCTGGCACATGGTGAGCACTACTTAATTGCTAGCTATTATTTTCTATTACCTAATACCTGCCAGACTCTGTTACACTCTTAAGAACACAAAAATTGTGTATGATGCAGACCCTGTCCCCAGGAAGTAGGCTCAGTCTCTTTGGAATAGGGAACACTAGAGTATGAGGTTAGAGTTGAGTCTGCTCCTGATGTGCTTTTAATTACTGAGGGTAATTCTCTTTTTCATCTTAGTGGAGGCAGAGCCTACCCATGTTCAAAGGTAAGCCACTCGTTAAGGTTAATCTTGTGGCAGGGGCAAATTTACCTTTCATGGGCCCCTTACCTCCACAAAAGACAATCAAGTAGTGCATTTGACGGACAGTTTCCTCACTACAAGACTGTCACTTGACTGACTTAAGCACTCCTTTCAGCTCTCCAGGGCTTGCCTAAGAAACAGGTTGCTTAAGTTTGGTTCAACAATATTTTTTAGGGCACATTATGTGCCAGGCTGACATTTCACCTCGTGATGGAGATAGCGTGGAGGAGCTCACAATGGCTTAGACAAATGGGGAAAGAGATCATTCCAATACACTTGAGGGGAGTGCCATGATAAAAGGTATATCCTAAATGCTGTGGGATTTCAGAGCCATGGGACACATGGCAGATAAACTAATCAGAGCTAAAATGTCATTAGATGATAATAACAATGTATTTTGTCCTCCTAGTAACAGGGAGAATTTAATGTGAAAAAATAATGGTGAAAATTTGGGACACTACTTTAGGTCGGTGGGAGAAGTATTTTTAGGAATTGTGTTGCATAAGCATTGCCTTTGAGAGCCTTCTCAGATTATATACCAAGCACAAGCAGGCACGTGCCTATGTGTTGGGCCACTCCTGTTAAGAGGTGGGACTGCTGGAGTTCAGCAGGGTGAGTGAATGAAGGGAGCAGGAGCCATGGGTTCTAAGTGTGTGCCGCACAGAATATTCCCTGGGCATGGCTTCCAGTAAGTAGGCATGCTACTTTAAAGAAAATAAAAATTCAACACATATGGGTGAAGTCATTTCCTCTCAAGCTATTTCTTCATCACCATCATCGTCAATAGGAATTTCTTCATAACCCACTATGTAAGGCATTGTGCAAGGCCTCACCAGAAGAGGGTAAAGAGAATGTAAGACACAGTACTTACCCTCAAGGGAGGCTGGATGATGAGATAAGACAGATAATGAAGCCCCAGGACACAGAGAATCTGTTGCGTTAACGTTGAAGGATCTCACCTAAAACAAGGCCTCGGGTTTTCTGAAGGCCAGAGAAGAATCTTGATGTTCTCATTTCCAGAACTTCTTAGGACACAGTGTCTCAGGCAGATTTACCTCCAGACTCAGGTTCTGAGGTTTACACCACCGATAAGCTGCTCTGGCCTGTAGATCTCATGTGGCTGAAGGTGAAAATAAAGAAATTTACCTTCATATTGACACTTCAGAAATACATAGAAATGCCCACGTGTGAAAAGCACTCTGCTGCAAAGTTGTATGTACACGTGTGAGTGGAGTCATGGGAGGAATCGCAGAGGTAAGTTTGAGGCAGGCCTGATAAGCAAAAGGATTTTGACAGGCAGTGTTTCTGACAGAGCTGGGGAAGTGTAAACTGAGATCCAGGACCACTGACCATCTTGGGAAATGCAGTCCGGGGAGATCTTCCTGCATGCCAGGTGAAATTCTCAACCCTGGAGAGGGTTCTTGACTCTGGTCGAGAACCTATTCACTAGCAGGTGGAGGAAGTACAAGCGAACAGTAGTTTAATAAGGCAAAGTACATCCTCAAGGAAGGCATGAGGGCTAGAGAGGTGACCAGCACAGTGGGGTTTGGGTTGGGTCGTCTTACAGCTGGATTTTAAGCAGGAGGTGGAAAATTCATCAGGATAGGTGAGGTTTTCTCAGAATAGGGAGGGGATTTCCGGGAAATAGAGGGACACCTTCGCTTTGTCTTCAGGTGGTCTGCCTGGGAACCGGCACTGGCACCAAGGGGTGTGATTTTACTATGCTAACAAGTGTATAATGTATTTTGAAGCAAAGGCAGGGTCAGCTTCTCCTCCATGTTGAAACCAGTCATTCTTGGCAGGTCTGTTATCTATACCATCCCTCCCTGCATCCCATGAGAAGAGTTTACCGGGAATGTTTAGAATATTAACAGGCATCTTAGCTGAATGTAAACACCAGCCAAAGTCCCTAGTGCCCTTCCTGCTCTTGTCTGGCTCTCCACCTACTATAACAATCCCAATTTGAGTAGAAAAGCGAGGCCTCTGGAGCACAGCAGGAACAAAGACTGAAAAAATACAGTCACCCGACAGGTTGTGAAGATTTAGACTGACCGAGCCAAGGAGTTTGGGAAGGGAAATACCATGAGAAACCCGGTAAAGTCTACAATCATGGATAAGGACTATTTCCATTTGAAGATTTTTTTTCCCAGATATTTTACTATGCAAATGTAACTATATTTAAGAACAGAAATGAGATAATTTCCTACTCATAACTTTGCAAACTGCTTTTTTATAATAAATACCATATTATATGGGCTAATCCGTATCAATCAATACAAAAAAAATGGCAGTTAAAATTTTTTTTAAAAGACATAGGCATTGCCATAAGAAAGAAACAAATCCAACCATTTGCAACACCATGGATGGAGCTGGAGGGTATTATGCTCAGTGAAATAAGCCAGGCTGAGAAAGACAAGTACCATATGATTTCCCTCATTTGTGGAGTATAACAATGAAGCAAAACTGAAGGAACAAAACAGCAACAGACTCACAGACTCCAAGAAGGGTCTAGTGGTTACCAAAGGGGAGGGGTGGAGGAGGGAAGGAGAAGAGGATTGAGGGGTACCATGATTGGCATACATGGTGTGGTTGGGGGGGTCATGGGGAAGACAGTGTAGCACAGAGAAGGCAAATAGTGACTCTGTGGCATCTTACTATATTGACGGGCAGTGACTGCAAAGGGATATGGGGGGGACACGATAATATGGGTGAATGTAGTAACCACATTGTTTTTTCATGTGAAACCTTCATAAGAGTGTATATCAATAATACCTGAATAAAAAAAAAGGCATAGGCATTGAGCAGAAAGTGACAGAACTAAATCACTACCTTAGAAGAATTAATCTGTCACCAAGACGCAAGATAGCCAGTGGGAGGGCAGAAAGGAGGGCTGATGGTTCAGGGGCCAAGGGCAATCCGCCCCAGGATGTGCCATTGTGACATGCAGATTATTTTGAGCTGAAAACCATAAAGGCCCAAAAGACTCAGGACACTTAGGCCTTCCTCAACAAAAAAAAATACACACACACAACTGTGTCAAAAGAGTTTAGATAGAGGAACTACTCCAGGATAGCTAGCACCACAGACAGCTTTATTACAATGTCAGCTAGGTGTTGTAGACAGGGAGGGATGTGGCTAAGTCTGTTAAAATTTTTCTCTGTGCTCCATTGTTTCTGTGTGGACCATCAAGTATTTTGTTTATCAAACTATTCTTTCATATTCCTGTGAATTAGTTCCCTGTGCCCTTGAAGTCTCAGACCGCTACCCCCTTCTCTTTGATTCAGGATGACATTTAGACCTCATTCTCCCTTACTTTGGAACCCATATCTATGGCTTCCCCATATTTGCATAATTAAACTGCTTTTTTCTCTCCTTTTAATCTATCTCATATAAATTTGATTCTTAGACCAGCTAGAAGAACCTCAAGGGGTAGAGGAAATTTCTTCCTCTCCAGCAATGGCAAAAACCTTAGTTATGAAAGAGTAATTCGGGCCAGAAGTTTACTGTGCTGTATGTCATTCTCAGCAACTCAGACTGATGCCAGGCCAGCCTGATGAGGACAATGCTTGAAGAGACCTCCAAGGCAGCTGTAGCTCATCCACTCCATAAAGTACTGCATCTCAGGCTCAGCCTCTGGAAGGAGCCTTTGGAGAATTCTGAGCAGCTGACTTTTGGCAAAGTGAGATGCTAATCCTTTTTCTGCTCCTCCCTTCCCCGCCTTCCAGTGCAGACTGAGGAAGGAAAGGCAGTAGGGAACTTTCCCAATAAGCCTGTAGCAGTGGAAATAAGCAACTCTCACTCCTAGTTTACAAGATTTGTGATTGTTTCAAACACCACCACAGTACTGATGCCCACCTTGGTGGCAGAAGGGCGGTTTTTTGGGTTATCTTTGTGGGGTGGTGGGGGTTGGAGAATGGGGAATGCTTAGTGGTAGGGGATCCTCCTGTTAAAAGTTTGTTTCTGATGCAGCTATTACACCTTGACAACTGGAAAGCAGGTGACAATGTTTGCTATTTATAGATTTTCAAATCTGAATTCAAAGAGGCTAT